CTTAAATTAACTAACATATAGGGTTTACTGTTTTAAGCAGAGAGAATTTGGATACATTAAATAATGAAAAAGTTATGACCAATCAGATTTTAGCACCGAATTATAAAATATTGAAACTGCCATAACTTTCAAAATATTTGCCATGGAACAAATTCCTCTGCTTAAAACACAAAGTTGACTGAGTGGGACAATCACTAAAAATTTTAGCCAAATCCATTGTAATCTACTCAAGATATCTTTTCTCGACCGCTGAAATAGTGCGAAATGAGAAAATGGAGTTTACAGTTTTCATTACTGGTTAATGTTAAATATTTCATCATCTTACAAAGTTTAAGGTCTTTGTAAGTTCTAATAACCTATAAGATCCTTGTGAGAAGTAGCTAGAAAGCTGCTGCCTCATATGTCACTCCTTCAGTATTGCGGAGGGCCTCTTCCCTTCTGGTGCGCAATAGGCGTTGTCTCTTTTCCTTATCAGTGGCATGCAAATCAGACTTCTTCGCTTCAGTTATCTTGCTTCATCTCTTGGAACCAAAAGTTGCTTTTTCTTCGAGTGATCCCATTATGCCTTCAACTTGCTTGTAGTAAGCAGGCCTAGAAATACAAGGCATGTTAAAAATGCTGCACCAAGGCGCCAGACCTTCGTAATCACTGCCAGTCTCCACTGAGTGATAAACAGCACAGCGACTTATATCTTGTGACCTTCCCCGAGTAGCAGCATTGACCAATGTGGTGAAACTGCTTGACTCATTACATGAATCACATCCCAATGCAAACTCTGACATGAGACCAGAACGTTTGTCAGGGACGTCTTCAAGAGTCATATTTCCTTAATTCTGACAGGGTCATAGAACTGAGTATCATCTCAGGAATATATTAAATTATTAACACAATCTACAAATAATTAAAATTAATACAAAGGATAAATATAATGCATATATACTTTTGTTTGAATACAACTTATCAATTAAACCTATATTAAAAGATAAGTGGATTGAAAACATAAAAAAAACTTTTGAAGGGAATTTTACCTTTGAACAGCACAAATCACTTGACAAATGTGTTGCATACTTGACACAGCTGTGGCCTGTGGACAAACAGTTCAGGCTAAATTGCTAATAACCCAGAATTCTTGACAGTTTTAAGGATTCTCAATCGTAAACTCGGACTCTGCATTCTTACTGTCACCTCGCACTTTCTTCATTGAGGTTCCAACGATATTTTCACCATCAACTTCGCCTGTTTGAGATGTCTGATACGTCACTACGTGATGAATTTAAAGCCTCGTCTTTCTTGTATCTTTGACGCCCCGAAACAGTCCCTTTCCTCTTTCTGTTATATAAAGATCTGGAGCTTTGTCCAACCATTTGTTTATGTTAAAAAGCAAAGATTAAAGAGCGAAGAATTTGATTTCTTTTCACGTTCGAAAATAGCATTTCCGTTGAAAATTTTGATGACAATTTTGGCATGGCAATGAGCGCCAGCAATCACCAAATTATAACAGCACCAATACTTTATGTAGTACACAACAAAGGGTACTATGTAAATCACTTGCTTTCGAAACGCTGGCAAGCGGACAATCAAGTTAAAGTGGCAAACAAACAAAAAATGCCATATTGGTTGCCATGGAAACGGGTAACAAAAATAAGATAATGCATATTAAAATCCTCAAAAGTAGGGGAAGGATTTTGATATTTTAAAAACGGTTTGGGCACATGTTAGCTAAGGTCCCAAAGTCATTAAATATGTAAAAAAGAAATTTTGATTTTTTTTGAAGATTTAAGGTTAACTCCCCCCTTAAGGTATACCGTTATCACTCAAACAAACCAAAACCAATTATGTCGCCCTAATTCTTCATTTCGGTACCAAGTGCAGGGAATGGTAGTTTCCGAGCAGGGCAACTGCCCTCCCCCTCCCCCCCCCCCAAAAAAAATAACCCATTAATCCATGCAACCTCGTTCCCAGGCTCTTTGCTCTTGGGAAGCAAAGACCCTGGTCGGAGCTGGTCACGTGACCCATTGAAAATTGATAGCCCAAGAGGGGGGTGGAAAAGTCTCATATTACATGTTTCCACTTCCGCACTTCGATTGCAAGGAGTGGCCGTTCTGTACAATCATCTAATTCATCTTCGAGAATCATATATACCTCAAACTACTTGCTAAATTGAATTCTGTTTGCTTTGAAATTATACAAACATGCTAAAATGCAGATTCTTATAGCAACAGAAAATTCAGGAAATCAAGCAACGAGAACGTATGACTGTACGCTTTGAAATATTTTTATTTTCTTGGGTTTCGCCGGTTCGGGCGTAGTTTGATTTCACGCGTACGTTTCTGTTCTGGCTCTGATATTTATAATATGCTTATAATATGCCAATGAATTGTTGTGATATGGACACGGTATAAATTTTGTTAAACAGATGTCTCAAAAGCGATGTTTATAGGTCGTAGGATTAGCGCCTTGCCGGTCTTAAACGTGACACATTTGGAAACAAGCCAAATACACATTAAATGTCCATTCTATTCATTCTAAAACTGTTTATAGACATATTGCTCTAGATTTTTTTTAAAAGGTTATCATCGTTTATATTAAACACCAGGAAGACAAAATATAACGTACAAAATTGTTTGAAATCGACAGTGCACAGCTGACATACGACAATTCATAACTGCAAGAATTTCCTTTTTTGTCTGCACGAGTACCTGTTTGTTGAAGCCAAAATATTTCACAGCATCTCCTATAAATTCTATCGCGATTTACCCTCTCCCCTTAAATGCAAAGGAATGACAGCCGAAAAGGTTTAGCAAAGTATTTTTTATTATATCTGGTATAAAGTGTCCTACGTTTTATCAGGGATATACATAATTCATAAACTGTATATGCACACGAAGTCTCGCTTATATTAATGAGTTTTACTGTAGCAAACCTTTTAAAGTTTCCATTGATAGATAGGTTGTTTGCCTCCAGTATTGTTTGGTAAAACAGACTATTAAAACTTCTAAAATATCGATTCAAATAAATTAATAAT